CTGCCAAACTCAATACATGCATAGGGTCGTTTCAGTAAGACATGGCTTTCCCAAATGCCTGGCATACTCAACCTACAGAACCATCCTCAGGACAGGGCCCCTCAAGCCCGAAGCCCTAAACATCCTCATTGGACTCATGAAGCCCAGTCCCTCCAAATTTCGTATACTCCTCAAAAGCCACAGGAACCCAAGATGAGGACTTCCGGTTCGATCAGGGCTTCTCAATTGTTGACACATTTCGAAACCCTTGACTCTAAGACACCCTAAGCCCTGAGCCCATAGCATCCCTTTCGCCTACAGTTTCATCAAACTAGGATTTTCTAGGCTGCAATGAAAAGGGAACCCTGAGCTGAACACGCCTTGGCCAGAGAGCTCCCCAAAATGAGAAGGTTCACCGGTACCGCAGCATCACCAAGCCTTGAGTTGGTTTACGGCTTTGCAGACTGCACTGTACGGGTCTAGAAAGGTAGAACAAGGAGGGCATGCTGTACCATCGTTACATGAGGATTGCATGTGAATATATGAGCTATAGTCTTAACTCNNNGAGTTTGGACTATAGCTCATATTGGTAATCATACAGGCATCTGCAGTAAGCAGCGAGCCATGCTGACAACGGCTAATCTCCGCAGCTGCTTTTCGAGTCATATAAGTTCATGGAAGTGTTCCGAACTATTTCGGGTCCTGCCGAACTTCCATATGCAGGTCCAGACAAAAAGAAGACCCTCAAGAAAATTAACACTAAATGGATCAATACCAGATTCAGGGACCCTGGCATACTCCTTGATGCCCGTGTGCCTTGGTAACCCACCATCCTCCAAGCGTTGTCAAAAAAACTTCGACAAGAAAAGATAGTCAAGCACATCCCTAGAGCTGTAAACATGCGTCAATGTGCCCGAGAAGTCCCGATAAAAAGGCCCAGTAGCTTGTAAAGCCCGCTATAGAGCCACTGCAACGGAGCATCATTGTCCTCGATCCATGTGAGCCGTAGGTATGTGCTGAGGTGGCAAAAACAGCCAAGACCTCTATGATAAGTTGTCGAGTCCCCTATTCCTCCTTGGGGGGCTCCTAATACGCTGAAGGGGAACATGGAGGGAAGTGGCAAGGGAAGTTTGGCAACTTTGAAGAGCCCACGGGAATGAACATACAATTCATGGACAGGGATGAAACTAAGGTGCTTGCAGGAAAGCACAGGTGAAGCATCCAGATGTACAGTTCAAATGTGTTTGCGGGCTAGATCTGAACTATGGGGTGCCGGGGAGCGGGATCATGTGGGGAATCAAGTTGCAAAGAAAATGGAAATGAAGTGGAGACTGGGATCGTACGGGAAATGACAAGGGATTATGTACTGTAGTGATCATTGTGCTTCATGATCTTCCAGCGTCCAAGCTGTTGGGATGGGTGTTCATCATGTCAATAAGAACCAAGGAATGGAATTCCAGACCAGAACGACTCCAAACCTTCCCTGACACCAGACTACCCCAAAGATCCCCAAAGAGCAACCCCACGCGCCCCAAAGCCTCAACCATATCCCGCACACGCAAAACCCCAAATTCCTTGAGCCACGCCCTAAACCCCAAAACCCTAAACGCTAAACCCAAATCCAGGAATCCTGGTCTCTGAGATCCACCAGCCAGCCTGAGACAGAAGGGCTCTCACCGTAGGGGTCCTTAGGGACGTGGGGGACATCAAGGACAACATGTTCAGCATTCCACTTGAAATTATTTGAGGAACTTTGAAACTCCATCTCGGCGGAGGGCCTCTGTAGTCAGTCTTAGCATACCCAAAGTTTTCGTTGCGCGAGATGGCTTGTTTATATGGGCGTAGCAGAAAAGGGACCACTGGGAGCACTTGCCCTTTGTACTTTTTTCTGCGGGGGAGAGAAGTCTTTACCTGCAAGGTCCAAAAACCACAAGTAGAAGCGCCCTGAAACCCACAGATTAATGAGGATCGCAAAGGATGGATGAAGTCCATACATTCTGTCAGGCTATTCTCTCCAGCTTGCTCCAAACTTATGCTTACATGAACCAGCTGGCACAGGCGCCTTCAGAAATCTGCCTTGAAATTTATAATCCCCTTGAGTAGATAGAATATGGGGCATGTAGGGATCTAATTCTGATATGGGCAATTCCATATTCTATCTACTTAAGAGGGACTACCTCACCTCAAGGGTTAGCCCTACAGCCTCCCTTCTCGCCTCTCTATCAGTTTTGTTTTAGAGGTAGCATGAGGGAGGCCGCAAAGCACGAAAGCAGTAACCAAGTTCTATCATGAACCCCTTCAGCCCCTGATTGAAATGCCACATTACACAACTGCTTTCCAGTACCTTCTGCGCATCTTGAGTGCGCATAAGGCTCGTCGAAGAATTGATTCTACCTACGCTCTATAACACCTGGACCTATAAGCTGTTAACTCCAACTTGCCTAATCCCTCCCCAAGAATGTACAGACACAAAGCCCGGAACCCTAAGCCTGAATCCTACCCTGAACCTAGATCTGCTATAGCCGGCCTCTGGCTGGAGTGAAGCCAGCAAGAAGGCCCAGAAGGGCACCAATTACTGGTGGCACCAAGGCCTGCTGTCAGATTTAGCCTCTGTGGTTTAAAATTTAGGGGTTAAATCAGGGTTATATAGGGGTTAATATATTGGGATAATGGAAAATTAAATGGAAACTACTATGATATATTTAGGGTGTATGGTGTAGGGTTTTGAGTGTGAAGTATTCGGTGCAGGGTCTAGGATGTAGGGTTGCAGGTGCAGGGTCAGGGTTCACACCTTTGGGTCTGGGGTCTGGGGTCTTGGTTGAACATGTACACTTAAGGGGTTAGTATAATTGCAAAGTGGTTTCGACAAGCTTTGCCTGGATAGCTGTCAGTAGGCTTTTTGGCGGACTATAGAGGCATGAGAACGGAAGCATGGACGACGCGTAAGCCCTTGGGTAATTCTGTCTCAAGTCGTGAAACTATGATTATAGGGTACCCTTGCCACCAGAGCTACCTGTACGTAAAGTGACCACAACTCCGAGCTCAACAGCAACAAAACCCTCCTAATTTAGAGCATGTTCGGCCTGTTTGGAGGGCCAGATTAGGGGTCAAAGGGCACTTCAAAGGCAGACGCATTTCGGGGCTGCAGTAACAATCGCATAGACTGCAAACAAATAATTTTCAGATCCTAACAAAGGCAAGATTCAAGTTTATGGCCATTTCAGGTGTAGTCTGAAATCCGACTCTGAGGCTTTTCCATGTGACATCATTCATCCTCTTCGGTGGAAAAATGTTGTTCATGGCTTACTGTTCAAAGGGGGCGCCTTGTTATTGCAGAGCTCGGATAATTGTAGAGATGTTTGCGACAGTACTTCCCAGACAGTACTTCCCTGATGCGCAATAGCGAAAACATGCAAGGGGTCCTGGGTCAAGGAACACGGCCTTTGAGTAACTCATATAGTCCTCAAACAGTATTTGGTTTGGCCGCGTGGGATTTTGTCAAGATTGCTGCTCCGAAGGTGGAAACTATAGAGGGACCCTAAACCCCTAAACTCCTAAACCACTAACCCCTAAACCCCCCAACCCACTGCTGAAGTTAGAGCTCTACGGGCATCCAAGCCTTGAAGCTTATTCTCACTTTGAAGCCTTTGCGCCGGCATGAACAATCTGGTTTCACATAGTTGCGAATGGCCTTGCGATATTCAGGGTTTAGGGTCTAAGATCCTGAAGAGAGACTTTAGCTGTTCCTCCAATAAGAAACCCTAGCAGAATGCACCTCCAAGCAGCAAAGGCAGGTTTGACAGGACGGCGATCCCCTGTATATACACTTCCCCAGGGGATCCGTGAGGCCCTCAATCATCCGAGTCCCCAACCTCGAATCCCAGCTACAATCCCTATCTCATCTCCTTTGCATAGAGGTGCTTCTCACATGTTATGGAACCAAAAGCCGGGGGTCGCCCCTACACACCCCAAAATACGATAATCCTCAGCTAGGCCTTCTCAAGAATGGTCCGAAGTTTGTCAGCGAAACGGCTCAGGCAGCGCTTGCGCTCCGGCAGGTCCAGAGAGGTGTCGGAACTTGCGACAGACTCCACCTGAGGCTGCCCCACTTCTCACTACAGTTCTCTCCCCTTTGCTGCCCCTCTGGTTTCACCCCAAATGCGCCTAAACAAAGGAAGTCTGGGCCCTCCTGCTACTGCACATGGCCTCCTCTGCTTCGAGATCGCCTTCAGCGGCGTCGGAGGGGGCCGCCTCACTCAGGAGCCTGGGCAGACAGACACCTGCAAATACACCTCGGCACCCGAACTTATGACGCCCCTGGCACGTTATATGATGGAGATCATGTGCGTCTGATGGTAGAGAGCAGGCTGTGCAGAAGGCAAAGTTACGTTGACCCTACAGATCAAGACAATGATTGCCCGCCCTGCCTGTGCAACGGGGAGGGGGGACCACCCCAGGCGCGGGAGGAGCACTGAATCATTATTACTGCTGAGCAGGACTCCCCTGTCAGTTACTTTCTGCTGTTGCTGCTTCCGACTCGTGGTCCCAGCGCCAAGGGAATCATCAGAAGCTCTCTGTGGGTCCAAGCGTAACGGTAACTTTTAAAACTATCCCTACAGAACTCCCTGCAAATTTCCATGGGCCCTCTCAATGTTGACTCACACAGAATTCTAAGTAGGTGGATGCTACACAGGCCCTGCCTCAAGTGTTCTACTATTATGCCACACTTCTGGGGTCCACCACTCTGCGACCTAGGAGCCAGGATCCAATGCTCCACTGGAGGACCGGGTACAACATCAAGTAGACGGGCAAGCGCTGTAGTGGATCCATCCACTTTGTGTCCCTGAGGAAGAAATCAGCCATGCGGTTGCAAGTTTTCCTCTGCACCGTTGATGATGCCCTTGTTGGAATGAAGACTCTGCTATTCGGTGGTTCTCGGAGACATTGGTGCTACCTGAAGACTTAGAACGAAATCTTCCAGCACGCAAGTCCCTAGCTTGGCTGATCTTGGCTGATCCGGGCTGATGATTAGGAGTTTGGAAGGCGAACGTCTAAAGGACTAGCTAATTGAGCTCAAGCGCGTTGTTGCTCCACAACACGCCTAGCAACCCCCCGAGACGTTGGAAAGTCCCAGGGCTTCCACAACGATCCAACCCCCCTTCATGTTCATGGATCCCCCACATGGGACCCTGTACAGCACTTCTTCTGTTGCTGGGGATTACGGATGACTTGTATGGCGATGCACGACAGAAAAGGCGCAATAATGCGATGATCATAGGCTCAATGACGGCTGCTGGTGCCCGGGGGTTGCTGCTGTGAGCCTGACTATACCCCTGATCCATTTCCAACATTGTTGCACTATTTGCATTCCGCCTCTCCCAACATCGAAAGGAACAGCCTGAGCTCTTCTATGCGCCTGCAAGCGTTCTCGCCGCATACATCCCGGACGAAATGACATGGTCTACATCTCTTCATGTGTTAGGCCCTCGAAAGTCAACTTGCATCATCTTGTGATACCTTACCCTTATTGGCCGATACGGTGGGGGGAGCCGCCAACAATCGCTAACTCCGGAAATCCAAGCCAGCCCCTTGAACCTCTAATTCCTAGACTGATTTTCCCGGCTTCCCTCCACTTCAAAGCCCTGAACAGAAAACACATCGCATTAAACCGTGCAAATCCAGGAGCTGCACTGTGAAAAGCATGATGAGGCCTCCTAACCGGCCCTCAACCATGAACCCAACTTGGAGGCGCCGGGGTAGCTGCTACGAGGGTTCTCCTTTAATTGGACAACCGTAGTCACATCCAAGTATAGCTGAATTCGCGTTGGGTGTGACTCAACAAGTGTAATCTAAGCCAGGGGCGGCATCATAGAGGCAGTAGACTGCGAAAGGACAGCAAGGAGGACGATTGGAAGACCAGTCGAGTTCCCAAAGGCCACGGCACAAATTGTGCCTGTTGGGCACTCATAGCCCCAGTGCTACAGCATCAGAACAGCACTGAGCATAGTAACAGGGGTAGTGCTACTAGCTCCTGGGTAGGCATAATCCGAAACACTAGTTTTAGATGTATCAAGCCCTTCAGCGCTATAGGGACTGTAGGATATTTCCTGGTGATAACTTCGCCCTTCCTAGCTATTGACACAAGCATTTGGCGGTTGTTCAAAATTCCCTTTCTGGTATTTGGCCAACTTTAGCGAAAAAGTGT